CGTGGCACCATTTGCTTTTCAAAAAAGTTCCAAAAACCTACTAAAAACCTATATTAGGTGAAATAACCCAATTTTGCCCATTTTTGTCTAAAATTGAAAATTCATAACCCAGTCAAGATCCATCCAGATTATACCAGAATGTTAACATATACTCTACCTTATCAACACTATACCATGTACTTCAATAAAAGCTTTAAAAATCAATCGAAAATACTTTGGTTTTTTAAAAGGTTTTCTATAAAGCTTTAGATGTAAAACAATATTTTTCACTATTTTAAAGTAAATAATCGTATTGAGCAAGTAAAATAAATACAGTATATGCTGATATTCACTAGGTTTTTGGACCTTTTTTAAAAATTGCAAATGGTGCCACGAGATTAAGCGTGGTCGATTGCATATGTTTCCATCCGATTTCAGAATTACCACGCCTAAAGAAATATTGATCATAAGGCTCTCAAGGAATCCGATTCTACGCATCGGACACAAAAAAACAAGAGGTGGCTTGACTCCCATTTTAAAGAGAATACTTTAGACTATCTATTCATGGAAAAGAACGAAAACATTTGCACTTCAAGCTTTTGAGCTATGATATAGTTTTCCAAAGATCTCCTTGAAAACCTAGCTGAAAAAATATTTTCAAATTTATTTCTGTCAAGAAAAGATGTGGTTAAGTCTTCTCTTTCGAATGGCGAAAAGTGAAACCCTCTATCTATCATTTCTCTTGACTTATTCAAAATATGACTGACCGCACTATTTCATTGGACAGACAGTAGATTCATAGACAAATTAATCTGTTACAAGCTACGCTTTAACTATAAATGAGTTGATACTTTCTGACTTTTTAACAACTTTATAGAGATTCTAAATTTGCATTGAAAATCCCATTTCTTACATATTTTGTTAAACGTATTACTGGATCACCCCAACCCTTGTAATCTCGAAACCTTTAACCTCGAAAAATTTAATACCTGTACAAACTACAAAGTTATTTTATTGAGTCTAACTATTACTAGATATTCCCTTAATGAGATGGTATTTGAAGTATAAGTTTTCGAGTTGTGATGTTTTAAAGTTGTTTTCTCTAGGATTATATTCAGACGTTGTCAGTGTTAGTTCGTGGAAGTCTTCAAGAGAAACTTCAATGGATATTCAAATTTTATGACGTCGATGATAATGGAAAATTAACAAAACAAGTAATAGCACAAAAAAAGTAGAGGTGTAGTATATATCTGTTTGCTTCGATGGCCGTCGAGGAAAAATTTTCAGAAAAACTTAAACAACTAGCATTTTTGCTGAAAAATAATTGCAGAAGAAAATATCCTGATATTACTAGAGATTATTTAAAATCTTCCTTTCGGAGGAATTTTTTCATCCTTACAGGTGTACCGATGAATATTTGAGTGTTTTCTTTCATCTATTATATATTTTAACTATACAGCTTTATTTCAGACTTTAGAAAATATACTACGCTCATTATATGATCTGTTAGGAGCAAATAATTGTGTGTATCCACCCGTATATGAAGATACAATCGAGAAACATTTGGATATTATTTTTAAAGTAATAACAAACAAAAAAAATTTCTCTGTTCAACGTGGCGAGAAAGATTCTTCCGATCATTTAGTTCCGTTGCTAATATATTTCTTCTCTTTAAGAAAATTGATCCAAGAAATCTGGGAAGTATAAACGCAGAAGATTTTATTAAATTCTGCTTACACGTAAGTTGTTTGTGAAATCTGTGGAAATAACTGAGACAGTTTGTTCAACCAACTTATAGCGTATCGTATTTATAAACTGTGAAACGCAATCTTGATTTTGTACCAGTCAATATAAAGTACCGATGCTAGCATTAACACTCGAGGGAAAACATATAACTCAATTATGTCAGAAAATGAGATGATTATTAGACGATAAATCTTTTTTAAACTTTCCATCTCACTAATGTGATGAACTATTATAATAAGCTTTGCTTATCAAGAAAAACATGATAATCAAAAGCAAACGAAAACAAAAATCTATAGACAATTAGAACTTTTTCAAACACTTCAATGATTCCAGAACGTTAATCCATTTCTATTTTAATCGTTGTTTAGGACGAAGAGGTGGTGAATACAATCGAAGCTCTTTCGTCAACAGCTGTCTGATTTCTTTTTCTCTTTTTTCTGTATGTTATGTA